CACAGAATTAACAGTGTAAATAACTATGTAAACAAGTGAAAAAAATTAGGGAACAAGGTCAAGAATCATTATTTATCTGGGCAGATGTTCTATAATATATATGTAGGTGCAGGTCTTGTCGTGTATCAAGCATGGACAGTGAAGGACTTCCTGTTCCTAGCTCACCTGAGTGACACCTGAGTGACACCTGAGGGTAGGTGAAGAGATGAAGTGAGGTGACAGGAAATGTGCGAGCTCAGGGCTCAGGAGGATATTAATACATCCTCCGCCCCAGCATTGTTGTCAGAGTCAGGAGGCACATGCAGCCATCAGAAGGCTACAACTCTGTGTGGGGTTCGGTGCAGACAGGCATGAAGACATGCTTTATATTTTTGTCAGGGTGTAACGCGATGATAACTTGATGCCATAACAGTCTTTCTGCGCAGGATTCTGAAACCAGAAACATGCTATAAATAAATGTGCTTAAATGGGTTCAAACAGATTTCTGGAAGGGGGGAAAAGAAAAAAAATGTCTTTCAAATGTTCGTGTTCTTTTTATCCTGGAAGAACCCTTTCAATCAAAAGAAAGTTCTTGAAGGTGAGAGCTAAATGTAGACCTTTCTTTACGGCCTCTCCAGGTCACGGCGCTGCTTCGAAGATAAAGCTCTGCTTATCTGAGCACTTGAGGCTCTGTGTAGTAGATCACAACCTTGTTTATCATCCTGTGTCATGCTGATAACAATGTGGCCTTCTGCAGTAGGAAGTGTGCTCAGCAATCTGACGTTAAATATTGTAAAGTAATGAATGTAAGACTGCGCAGAGAGTGTGTGTGTGAGAGAGTGTGTGTAGGGGAGATACAGGCAGCTGTAGGCAGAAGTAGGGCAGCTTTATTCACACGGAACCACCCAAACCTTAGTGACTTCTATAAAAGGATCATGAAGGAACGTAAGAACCTGTGATTCTGCTGCTTGGCTTTGCTTTGATGGACAAAAATAGAAAATCCAGCCAGGACGAGTTTCCCCTCACTCAAACAAATGGAAACAGTGTGTAATCATGAAAAAAAATAAATACAAAAACCAAAACAAAAGAGTGTCAGGTGAGGTGTTTATCAACACGTGATCATTTGCTGCATGTGCTTTTCCTAAGAAGCAGCGTCTGTCTTCAGCGCCTGTTTATACGGTGACCTACATTCTAGAAACAACAACTCATCCTGATCCATTTCTCCATGTCGTCGAAAACAAATGTGTGCAGGATACAGCAACTGTGTCAGATGACAGCTACTGTAAATGTATATATGGAGGACGAAGTAGCATAATGTGACAGAAGGTGAGTGGGTTGTACTCTTGCCTTACAGCAAAAACATCAGAGGTTTGATTCCCAGGACAACCTTATAATCTTTCGGTACAAACGTTTGATGTCTTCCCATACACTGTGTGTCAATAGTTGTTTGTCTCTGGACGTGTCCCTGTGATGGACTGCTCACCTGTCCTGGTTCAACCCCCGCCTCACCTGACCACTCCTGGGATTGGCTCCAGCTTGATCTGTGACACTGTGAAGGGGAAAGCAGTAGAAGATTAATAACGTATTTCACGTATGAAAATAAATGAAGTAAATATGAATCATTTGACTTCTTCATAAAACAGTTCTTCAACAGAAACATGCGTTGTTCTCCACCGTTTGTCTTTGGTCTGAGGTTGGTTTGTGTCCCAACATCTGAGAACTGCTCTGTTTACCACTACACATACTTTTTTAATTTTCAGGGGTTTAAAAACCTAAACATATTCATGTTAATAAGGATCAAGGCACTTTTTTATGAAAACTAATCACAACAACCCTTAGTCACCAATCTAATAGTCGATTAAAATTGATAAAAACAAATCGTCTTTATCTGAGGTCAGTGTGTCAGGTTATTTTAATTTTTACTATTTCAGTTCCACATTAAAATAAAATGGATCATAAAAATGAATGACAATGTTAATTATCCATTACTGTGAATTATGGACAGCTTTATACTACAGTGATTTTACAAGGACCCTTAATGAATGGTTCTTAATGAGTCTGCATAATGAGCACCTTTTATTGTTAAGTATGTTCGTCTAATGAAAGGCATAATGGAGAAGGTTTCAGACTGTAGTGATGCTGGTCGCCTGTTCACTCTGGATTTAAGATTGAAGTGAATTATCGTAGAATAAAAGGTAAAGCAGATATTGACTGTTAGATTTGACATCAGGAGGAGCCGCGTTTCTACGGAGGCCGCCATGTTGGACCGCCATGTTCTTACACCTTTTACCCAGCCTTCTATCTTTAATTAAATTTGATGAAAACTGTAGGTAACTATAGGTGAACATGAACAAAGAACCTTGGCACGACAGCTAGTCTTCAAAGCATTTTAGTGTTCTAGCCCCTCTGTAACTCCACCACAAGATGTCACTAAATCCTACACAGTGTACCTTTAAAGTAACAGCACTGAGGTAGAACCAGAGTTCATTGTTGTGAACTCTGGTTCAAATGGTTATCGTGAAGTCAATATAGTGTCCACTGCATACATTGTTCTATGTTACATTTGTGTTTCATATGTGCATTAAAAGATTAATGGAAAAAAATTAAGACCAACATCCCACTCCCATGGATTATTTAGAAGCAGTGAAACTTTTACCCATGAATTTTTATCAAAGAACATATTAAATCAAAACTAACACACAAAGAAAAAGGAAAAGAGAGAGAGAGAGAGAGAGACGCACACACTCACACACACAAATAGACATTATAGGAGGGGCTCTATTCTTTTCCTATTCCTCGTGCCACCCTTGCCTCTGTCTAGTTCTGGCACAGTTTCGTTCTCTTTTAAATCTGAAAAAAAATGTATTTAGATTTTTTTTTAATTCATTATCAGGATTTTAAAGTTAACACTCTGCTCATTTGTCCTGCAGAGCTCCACAAGCACAAAACCATAAACCATCCAAACCTGTCATCAGGGTGGGAATACAAGGGCAGAAAGGAAACTGTGATCCAGTCTCTGGTCTGTAAGCTGTGCATTACAGAGAAGTGTGTGAGTCCAACAATGGTGGAGCATTAGGACATGCCAATAGAGCAGTATTAGTCAACAGTCGGCGTCAATACACCCCACTGGGCTGCATGTCTACCTACAAACTCAGGCAATTGCTCTAGAAGGCGTTGCCACAACATTGAAACATCAATTATTGTAAATTACACCGAAACACTGTGTAGCACTTCAATTTGGTTAATCTCCTCCGCCGTCTGAGCTGGTTTTTGGGTAAGAGTGGAGAAAAAGTAGGGGCAATAGATAAAAGCCAATAGTCCTAGGAAAACGCACCGACTCTTTGGTCATTTTTATGCATAAACAATTAATTTGAGCTCCCAATTTGCATCCAGCTCTCCGTGGGAATTGGGAATTTTACGGGATAAATGCAGTCGTCTCTGTTTCTCTCCGAGTGCATTTCAATTGAAACACTTCCAAAGGGCTGCTGTGGATGCTTAATGTGCTTATTAAGACTTTTATTTCAGCCTGTCCTGGGGCACAGGTAGATAAATTCTTCAGAGAGGTGACTGTGAAGCTGTAAATGTACAGTTTTATGTCTCTTTCCACTCATTCACTGGCTCGACACACACACAAACGCTGGCCTGTCTGACCCAAAACAAACACATTTTATTTTAAGCAAACGTTGTGGAGCTCCATTGACTTCCCTCTGCCATGGTCGATTATCAGGAGGGGCAATGGTTGCTGGGGACAGATGAAGATTTGGCTGTTTGAGGGAACATTTTTGGAGGGAGGGGGTGGAGTAAATGAAAGACAAATGTGAGTAGTGCCCACTCAGCTATTTTCCCAGTCAAGATCAAAGGCACGCCGGACTGGCCGCTCCACAGGAAACTTGAGATGGGTCCTGCCTTTGTTTGCCGTTGCTAGGAGACCAGCCAAAGCCTGAAAGTGTTTGCAGTGGGGTACAAAATCAAAACCATTTCCAATATAAATTTTTAAGACAGCCATGTGTTTGTGTCCTGGGCTTTTAATTTAAGCCACTGAATACACCTCTGAAAAGACATGAAATAATGAGTCGTTCACACGTGAAATGTAACTATTTTGAGGAGAAAAAAAAGAACAATTGTCACTACAGTGGGCGCTAGAGAGGGGGATTTTTTTGTTTGTTTGAGCGTCGTCATTTGGATACAGTGAATTCATTACAGTGACTGAATAACAGTAAATTCAAGTAAAACACTTTTTTTATCCTATGTGCAAAAGCACACGACATGGCAACCAAGGCAAAAAGGTTTAGTTTTTTAATTATATTACTAATTAGCTTAAAAATATGGGATCATTTTATATATCTTTCTCCATGCCCTGTCTTTGATCATAAACTTAGAGTTATTTTTTGTTGTAGTCAATTTATTTCAGATTATTTAATTTTCAACTAATCGATTAGTCTGCTACCAAAAATGACCCTAAAACTAAATGTCAAAACTTGAATATAATCCACAAATCTGTTTGTCTTTAATGAAGTATCTAACTGACGCTGCCATAGCAATGATGTGCAATGCAGTTACATAGTGCTCCAGAAATCTTTATTGTAGTAAGGGAGAGGGGTAGTAAAAGTAGGAGGGCCAACCTGATTCGTCACTGTGTGTCATCGTCAGACAGCTGGACCAATGGGTGCCTTAGTTATGTTGTGGTTTTTTTTTAATAATGACTTATCGATATTGTTTACCATCACCAGGCTCCTATTGGATGATCCTGATAGGACATATACGACAGTTCTCATATAGAACCAATGACAGTCGGTCAGGTCAGTCCAACAGCACAAACGGCTGTAAGCGTACAGTGGTTTGAACTGTTGTTAATCCTGCGACAGCCTCTGATGTGAACATACACATACAGAGTACAAACCCTGTGTACTGTAAACACAGCTCAGTACATTCATAAGCTCGGGTTTAAAAATCCTGAGTAAGCTAATAGCATAGCTGTTATCTACTAATGAGTACTGCGATAGGGAGAGTGGCTAGACATGTGTCACAGCGAGCTCATTACATATCATTAGTTCAACACTGCAATAATGTCTACACATGCTGAGCCCAAGATAATGACTCACCCCTGATATTTGCAGGACCATTGTATACCAGCGAAGCACCACCAGGAGAGTTGGTCCATAGGCCGCAGAGCTGAGCAAATGAGAAGAACCCTGAGTTACGGCACAGACAGAGGAAAATTACAGCTAATGGGTTTTTGGAGTACAGTAACACAATAATATTGGTTTAAAGCAGTTTTTTTTCCTGACCCAGTGAACACACAACGTCGTTGTACAACACACACATGTAAATAATATATGTAAGATCAATACAATTTTCTGCTTACCAGCATTTATAGAGGTTTGTTTGTGCTTTTTCCTGCTCACTTGACTCCAGTACTGACCCTGGATCAGTGACCGTTGGACAAGCATGCATGAAGTATAAAGAACCTTAAAAAAAAAAATACTCCATTAATGTTTTCTCATTTCAAAGAGTAAAAACTGAACATTTTAATTATGTATGGGTTTGTAATATTATTGTACATCTCAGCTTATCTCATATAACTCACATAAATACACATGTAGCAGGAGGCTGTGTGGGATTTGCGACGTAATTCAGCTTGTAAGAAGTGAAACAATTTGATCTTATTTTTGGGGAAAATTAAAACAGGAAATGATGTTGAGTTTCTGGTGTGGAACAGCAGTGACTCCCTGTCTGCTGCGATGACACAGACACACATGCAAAAATAACTTCTATAGAAAATATCACGAGGGGATATTTAGGAAATGTGATCTAAATTCAACAGATAGATGGCTCTGTTAACACAAAAAATTATTCAAGACCAGTCATATTCAAGCTGAAATTAGGCCACCAGCCCCCTCACTCCTATTTTGAATACAGTCTGCTTTCATCAGCTTTTAAAAGAAGCAGCTTCTGGCTGAAAAGAACAGACGAGGTTCCTTGAGGACTCCAAAGTTTGTATCCTCCAATGGGATGAGTTTCTTCTTGGATCCATTGAGACTTAAAGTAGGCCCTGAATCCTAGCAGTGTGTGCCTGGAGCTTATGTATGTGCTGCGCTGTGTCCCGGCTTCACCCGCTGCATCTGGGAAGAGCACGTGAATAGCTGGTGAATACTGGATGGTGCCAACAAGACAAAATGGAGTCAACAACAAAACAAAGGAAATCAACGCCTCCCTCTGCCACTGCACAGACCTGTTCAAATCACACCATCAGAGTCAGGAGCAGCTGCTGTGTCCACCGTCCCTGCACATGGACCACACACTCTCGACGAGTCTCCACTCTTCGGACTGAGGATGACTCCGTTCCTTCGACTGCCACCTGCCTCTCATCTGCAGTTAGCCACACAGACTGGCAGTGGGTCTCATTTGTTTGCCAAATCTCTGGCTGCATTTGTGGCCTTTCATCACCAGCAGTTTAGGAAATGATGTTTGATGTCACACATCCAGCACAGCGTCCGTGGTTTAACTGGTGTTATTCTCTGAAAAAGGGCAATTAATAAAGGATCTCTGAGAGAGTTTATTAATATTATAGACACTTGTAGCCTCGCCGTCAGACGTGTCCCTAAATAAAGACACGAAAAGACTGAAGTGACAGGAAATACAGCGTGCACCGTGATGTGTGTGCTCTGCTGAGAACTTTGCTGAAAACTGATTCTTTTAGATTTTAGAAGTTACCAAAGGAGACGCCTTTTTGTCTTTTTTGTTTTTCTGCTGACTGGATGATCATTGAACAAAGTAGCCTCAAACAGTTCACCTCTGTTTTAGGGGATGACTGCTGCCTGAACTCTGCCCCCCCCCCCCCCCCCCCGCACCAACAAAAAGGCCGGGGGGCGCGGGGGGACACGAGACAATAAAACGGCTGGGTGACTGTAGGACAAGCAGAGAGACTGACACTTTATAACTCAGTGGAGACAGAGACACCGACTATACAACCTGAGTGAAGATAAAGATTTAGTAACGCTGAGAGATTGGAATTCTCTCGGCCTGGGGTCAGAAAGCCAAAATTACCTTTTCCAGTTCCCCGAGGGCAGATGTGGAGACCCCCGGACACACGGCTGTGGACAAAAGAGTGGACACGGTGAATCAGGGAGCGCATCAATGTGGGCAGTAATTACTGACTACTGTAGAACAATGGGAGGAGAGAAAATGGTGGAGACAATATACTAGTTTCAAAGAGTTATCTATCTATCTATC